AGACTTGTCTCATGCTCAAAATAGATAGGTTGCCAGGATTGAAAGCCAAATTCTGACTGCAGATACACTGTGAATTTTTTTCTATTTCTCAGTGCTTTTTGTTTCCTATTCTCCTCTCATTTGCTACTGGGGGAGAAAACCCACAAATCTAAATCTGAATTTTCTGGAGTAGCTAGATACCTGGACACCGAAAAAGTTGCTTAACTCTGTTAGTCACTGTGCACCAGAGCATTAGATTTGAAGAGGACCACAGCATTCCCTCTTCCACCTCCTGCTACACAGAGCAGGTTTTCCCCTGCCGCATCCCTGAAGAACAGACATCACCCTCCTGCTGGAAGACCTGGAGCATGTGGGAATTGGCCTCAGAATGACGTCTAGGCCATTTGGGAAGGATCTGTAAGAGCTCGATTTTCTTGCTTGCCCTGAAGTTATCTGCCTCTGCAGCTTCTAGTTAGCTGATAGCGACCACCGTGGAACATTCTGGTTGTAATAACCTTGCGCATGATAACCTCTCAAATATTTAAAGACTGCTGTCATGCCACCTTGTACTACCCAGCAGATCTCCCTTCTTTCAGCTAAGCATCTCTAATTTGTTCACATTTTCAGGTTTTGAGAAATTCTCAACCATCATACTACCCTGCCCCAGTCACCCTCCTGCTTATTGTAGCTTCTTAAATGCAGCTTCTGTTCCCTTTGTATGTGATCTGACAGTCCATTATACTTTATGTTAGCCCAGAGTACAGGGCCACTATGATTTTCTTCGTTAAGTAAATTAAGTGGCTTTAGAAAAGCACTTACCACCGGGTCTGGCAGTTAGAAAGCACTCATTAAATGCTTGTTTCTGAATGCTGCTGTGCATTAACTCATAATAAGGATTTATTTGATCTAAACCTGACTGTCAGGGGTTGGGAAACTTGTGTTTATCCTCCACTGTACCACCTATGGAGCTTCTAGACTGATAGAGACTAGGAAGAAAGGCCTGGTGATCTATTTCCAAAAATTAGCTCATGAAAACCCTATGGATCACAATAGAATATTGTTCAGTATAGTGCTGAAAGAATAGTACCCTAGGTTGGAAGGCAGTGAAAGTACACAGTGACCACAACAATGGACGTGACCATATCAATGATGGTGAAGATGGTGCAGGACCGGGCAGTGTTTTGTTCTAATGTACATGGGGTTGCCATGAGTTGGGGGCCAGCTTCATGACAGTAACAGCGATGACAGCACACCACCTCTCTTCCCCCTGCTGGGTGGAGATACCTCAAGGAATGCCAGTTTGACACAACAGCAGTTTGAGGGTTCACTGGGGAGGCAGCAGGAACGAATTGGGCTGCATTTGGAACACAATCGACCTCGGGTGATCCATCTCTCCCTAGTGGTAGATGGACAGACAGCCCTGGGGCTGCTTCTAGGCAATGCCCTCCAGGGAAGGCCTCTGCTGGCTGTGTCTGCAAGTATAGGCAGATGTGGAAGGTTGAGCAGCAACCCCCCGCCGCCCCGTGTTGAAGGTTGAACTTGACTAAAACCTCTTTAATGAGTTTGTGGGACACAAACTAGGCAGTGGACCAGGTCAAGATGGAAACTGGGGTGGGGGAAGGAGGTGAGACTTGAAGGACGGGGGACATCACTTGGGAGGAGGACAGGCTCTGGGTGGGTTAAGGATGGGAGGGCAGAGGGGTTGGCTCTATGCTCCCTTCCACGACTTACTGCTCTCTGTTCCTCACAGGAGTGGATGGTGAAGGGAAAGTCTTGTGGAGATAAAAAGGCAGGTCTTTTGCTGGTCCTGTGAGCCACGGGATCCTGGGGGCAGCCATCTTCTGATCTGGTGTCCACAGCTCCAGAAGGCACAGAGATGGGGGAGGCCAGGAACACCCCCAACACACACACAAATTGCAGAATCATCCAGACTTCCTAGGGGAAGCACAGTGGACTCCTTTCTTGTCAGGGGGCTTGGTGACCATCTGTCAAACTGATATGGAAGCACCATGGAGGGCAGGGCACCTCATTGTAGATAACAGCTCCTTGGACCCTGGGAAGTCTCATTGGAAGCTCTTCAGCTGGGCCCTTATGGTTAAATTCTGATCTCATAGCCCTTTTTAAAAATGGAGTCTTGACTTTTTTTCTTAAATCACTTTGTATAAGCTGTTTAATAAATATCACAAATTACAACCCATTGTCTATTTCTGGCTAATATTTTCCCCAGATGTTTTCTTTTTCAAACAGGGAGACATAGTGGTTAAATTCTCATTCTTTTCTTTAGTCGTTTCTTCTATTGCTTTTAAGCGTAGAATGCCTTTCTCATTTAGAAATCAGATAAATAATATTTAATTACATATCATTCTGGTGCTTGGTTTGTTTGCTTGATTTTGGTATTTATATTTTCACCGTCTGAATTTATTTTGGTATTTGTTGAGAAGTGAATATCTGAATTGAATGTTTCCCCCTCCTAATAGCTAACCAGTTGTTTAGGTGTGACAGCTGTTGGCTGACTACTTCTTCATATTCATGGCTGTTTCCTTGGTCCTCCCCTGTCCCAGGCTGGTGTCAGAGGAAGGGGAGTCCCTACTCCTGGGCAGAGGCCCAGACCCAGTGGGGGCTCACTTTCTCGGCTCTGCCCACCTTTCAGACCAATGGTGCTCTGTATTTACAAACTCTGTTTCCTTTACTGGTTCACAGGACATCTCATAGTTACAATTTTTTGTTTGTTTCTCACCATCTGCTTTAGAGAATGTCTTTATTATCCTTGAGTGGGAGCGGGAAGGTGCTGGGTGCGAGGGGTGGAATGACAGTGAAAGGGTAAGAGCCGGCGGCAAGCCCACTAACGTCTTGACCTAAGTTGTCTGCACTTTAGCTCAAGGACCCTCCCTGTGGGACGGCTCTCGGAAAATCTGAGTGCAGTCTTGGTGCTGCCACTTAGGGGACCTTGGACAATTACTGAGCAACCTGCCTGAGCTATCTGCCCATGTTTATTTCAGTAAGAAAAGTGGGGATTAAAAAATCTTTCTGGCTTACCTATTGTGAAGCCCAGATGAGACAAAGTATATGGGAGTGTTTTGAATCATCTAAAGTATTAGATAATTCCAAAGCAATATTAACATATTTAATTGAATCTTAGATGCTAAGAATTATAAGATGCATTTTATTATCACTAAGAAAAAAAAATGCTGCCAATTACATTAGGTCAAAATGTCTTACTCCCAATTGTGCAACTCATTCTCATTACAGAGATGTTGAAATGAGACATAATCATGTGGCTTGGAATCAGTGAAATTTGGTTGTTGGGCCTGACTCTTAGGTGGGGTGAGAAAGCATGGAAACAGTGTTTTAGACTCAGGCATGAGTTTTGATGTACTTATGTAAGGGGTGCAGAGGATGATAACCACCAATGCCCATATTTTATTCTCTAATACAGAATCTTCATTTTGCACCAATTCCTGAGGCTCGTTTTCCTCTTTGTGAGTAATTTCACTTTGTGATGTCTTTGAGAAGAAACTGTTCCCTAAGTTTCTTCATCTAATTTCCACTGTGCTGACAGAGAAACTTTGAATTCAGCTGAGGCGTCTGTGCTTTCCTTTCTGTGAATTGTCCGGTGCGAGGCCAGGGAAGCCATCAGTCTGCTGTCTATGTGGAAGTCTTGCTGCTGCATCTGGTTGAGCTACTAGTGATCTTAATAATGCCCACTGCTTCCTGCCCCTTGCAGGGGTGGTGGGAAAGTCCTTGACAACCTGGAGCCTTGGCTTTGAATTTGCTTTCTGGGGTACTATTTATTGCTCCAAGTAACGTCTTTCTGATCCTCAGTTTTCTTGGATAAAAAGTCTTATTCTGGAGCCTTGTCAGGAAGACTACATGAGCTGAGGTGAAGCCGCAGTGTTTGCTGGGCAGACAGTAGACAATAAATACCACTTCCCTTCTTGTCTCTCAGGAGTTGGATAGGGATATAACAGAGTGGGAAGCCCTGGTGGCGCAGTGGTTAAGAGTTTGGCTGCTAACCAAAAGGTCGGCAGTTTGAATCCACCAGCTGCTCCTTGGAAACCCTATGGGGCAGTTCTACTGTGTCCTTTAGCATCGCTATGAGTCGGAATCAACTCGACAGCAGCAGTTTATAACTGAGTGAAGAAAAGTTAAGTTTCACTGTTTTGGTATGTATCAGGTAACTATAACTGAACCTGCACACATTTTTTTAATGCCGTATTGAAAACGCACCTAATCAGTTTGCTTGTCTTATTGTCCAAGATCCCCTTCGGCAAACATGCATAGCTGCCAACTATCTTCTAATGATACTGCCATTGAGCTCCAGGAGAGTGAGGCCCTTACCTTGTTTACAGAGTTGTTGGGTTGTTTTGTGGAATTGTACTCCTTTTACTTTAGGTGAGCATTTCAGAAAAGGCTTACGTCTATCAGGTGCAGTCTGTCCCAAATTCTCTCCTGCTGGGATTTCTGGCATACTCCCATGGCCTCCGGCTCCTCCTTGGCAGACCCCTGCCCTCACCCGCAGTCTCCCTGTTCAGAATGCACCCATCTGTAAAGGTGAGGGCGTTTTCTTCAGATCGTGGACTCTAGAGCTTTGCCTCTGAGACAGGGCTCCTTCTGGAGAACAGACTGTGAGAGTACCTTCAGAAACAAGGGAGCAGTGTTCTCCTTTGATTCTGTTCTTAGAATCTCCCAGACACCGCTTGTTTGTAGCCTCACAGGACATGGAGAGAATTGAGTGGGAAGAGGTTGCTGGTGTTGCCATTTCACAGGGAACCAAAGTGTCATTTAACTGGGCCAAGGTCATTTACAAGAACATACCAAATGAACCTCAGACCAAAGAACTGCTGTCTGCCTGTTTCTTTGCTCCACCTCAGCCCATGTCTTCTCTCTTTGCCTCTTTCCTCATCAGTGTTCTTTCTCAGTGCACGCAGGAAGCGAGGAGAGATACACAGAGAATTTAACGTGAGAGCATTTTTAAATAGTTAGTGGGTTGTTTCTAAATAAAGAGACAAAAAAAAAAAAAGAGAGAGAGACTTAAAACAAAGGTGGATCCTCCTGCAGGGAGCTCCTGTTCCACTTCCTATTTCACTGGGGAGCAGTGCTCTCAGGTGTGTGGGCCTTTCCCAAGGTTTTCCTGGGTGGAACCAAATGGTATTGCTCATGCGAGCATAAATGAGTTCCAGGAGTACAAATGTGTGTGAAGGGGAATTAAATGGTCTGTGTCTTGCTGCTCTGTGGCTCTGTTCTGCATAGGGTTTTGTTTTGCACGGGGTGAATCTCAGCAAGGAGCCAAGTCCATCTCCCAGGCGTCCCCAGGGTGCTGTTGTTCCAGGGAGGCCAGGAGGTGGTGCAGGTGAGGAGTCAGTCCCTTGCCTCCAGGCTTTCCGAGCATTACCTGTGAGGATGCTGCTGATACTCTGAGAGAATTATTTTCTCTTCTGAGGTTGAGGGGAGGATGTAAATAACTTCATATTTGCAGAAGGCGCATTGCTCTGTACTTAAATTCTCCTGGTTCCCAGGCCTCTCCACGTCTGGAGCATCAGGACCCATCTTTGCCAACCCTGGATTTCTGGTTGTGTCCCGGTCTGGATTGCAACCTGGTTAACTGCACACACTGAAGAGAAGGAAAAAACAAAGCTAAATAGGACTTGGCTCAGGATTGGTATTGTATATGGTTTGGCTTTATTTTCTTTCATTAATGAAAATTGAAACAGGCTGAACATTCTCCTTTGACTTCTGTAGACTTCATGTTGGCAATAAAGATTTCCGTCAAGTCTTTAAATAACGTTATTGTTGTTCTCTAGCTTGTTAGTTTTGATTTGTTTTACAAGTAGTTATGCCTCATTCTAATTCCTCACTGATTGCTTTTCCCTTTGATTCTGTTTAGAGATGCTTTGATAGGAAACAACACCTAGCATGTCATTGCTGTGTCTTCCATAAACGCTATGGTCATGGTCCTTCACTCACTTTCTGTCAGACACTGACTCAGCACTGCTGGGGACATGGAGACGGCACCTGCTTTCAAGGAACTGATAACCTGATGAGGCTGGCAGGAAGCTGTTGGCCTTTTCTTGCTGAAGGAAGGGAAGTTCACCACTGATCATTATCAGTGACTTCATCTCTCTGAGCTTCATTTCCTCACATGTAAAATGGGTATACTAATTCCCTTCATGGAGTTTTTGTTCTTAATTGAGGAAATTTAGGTGAAAATATTGTATACATGTAAGATCTTATTGCTAAGCCTGAAGAATTGTGATTTTAGTGTTAAAGCCCAAGTGCTTTTTCTTGTCCATGTGTGTCCCTTGTGATGAGAAATTCGTCATTTTTCTGCTCACTGTCCTAACCCCTAAGGTGGTATTGGCCATGGAAAAGACCCCTGTTATGGATTAAAGGGGAGTATTGTAGCCTGGGTGTACAAAGCAGGCTGGGCCTTCAGCAGTGCCAGCTTCCTCTCCTGCGCCATGAAGGGGGAAAGTTTATTTCTGCATCACAATGCTGGCCCTGGGGCTGGAGGGGAGCCTTTACTAATCCACACCCTAGATGGAGTATAAGCAGATGTGAAAAGCCCATTAGCATCAAGGAAAACTGGGACAAACACATTTTAAAATTAAAATAGAGTAGAAAGAGCGATGTGAGCCTGAGATTCCCTTTTCCTCCAAGTTGAAGAAACCTGAATGGGAGGGTTGGGATTTTCGTCTGCTTTTCCTGTGGCCTTGAAGAGTGTGTGAAGTGTTTGAAATTGCTAATTCTCCACCTCTGAGTTGCCAATAGATACAATATAGGCTAACAGTATGTGAGTTCTCCCTTCTGTAGAACAAGACTTCCTTTCTCCTCAGCTTCTGCAGGAAAAAGAAAGAGAAAATGCCTTGGGCCCTTTGGGTGGATTTTCCGCAGCAGCTTTTCACCTTTTGCTGAGCATGACGTGTAATTGTTGGTGCTGTGGAGTTGGTTTGCCGAAGGTGAAGGAGAGGGTCCTGTGAGCAGCAGCTCTGCTCCTGGTCAGCAAGAGTGACACTGACTGCAGTGTTTCAGTTCTTGTTGAGCACTTCCTTTTTCATTCCTGCTAAGCTGGAAGCTCTGTAAGCCCATCAGTCAGCCCAGAGCCAGTGTATCTGTGGCTGACAACTAGAAACGTGAGAAAATGGCCACCAAGGAAAAGAGCAGTGTAGCAGTAAGGATTTTTTTTTTTTTTTAAATAAAATTTTAGAATAAAGAAAACCACTGAGCCTAATAATTTGCCAATACATCAACTAGGGGGTAAAGATGGAATTAAACAATGTCATTAAAGGAAATTTGGTCCTGTTAGTATCTATGAAGATTAGTCAGATTTCTGGGGACCCATTTGCTCTTGGGCATGATGAAAATAGTCTGTTTGGAATGAGATTCTTTAAACTCAAGGAAGCCTTTAATTGTGCTGTGGGCTGGTTATCCAGGCTGTCAGTTCACAGGATCACAGACTTGTGTAGTGCTGGAAGGGACAGGGAGGATAATTGATCTAGCCTTCTTTTAGATATGGTGCACCCAGGGGTCCAGAGAGCTGTGGCCTGCACAGGGTCACTCTGGTCGTGCTGAAGGCAGATAGAACCAGCCTCCCCACGCTGGTGCTTCTCTTGGTTCTCCAGGTCTCCTGTCCTATTCCCACCACTTTTCTGCTTTTAAGGATTTGCTCAATCTCCACTAGAGGTAAAGGGGTGCTGGAGCTGTTGGGCTGACTTTTTTGTTGGCAGTTCCGCTGAAGGTAGGGTCGGGGTGGTGGTCGAGAGAGTCAAATTACAAAGCAGGCTTGGCCAACTGGTAGTGGTTTATCCTGCCATCCTGGTGCCTCATGTTTAGGGATAGCCAAGAGTTGTCTGAGCACGAGTCACTGCCAGGTGGTTTATAAATAAATAGTAGTGTCGCCTGGGGTTTAGCCAAGAATATGTGTTTGATTTCCTCCCCTTCCTCTGCATAGTTCTGCCACTGGGCAGGTTAGGTTCCCTGCTCTTTTGATTGCCCCTAACCTCTTGTTGGAGCCCTGGTGGGACAGTGGTTAAGAGCTTGGCTGCTAACCAAAAAACGTTGGCAGTTTGAACCCGCTCTCTCTGTCTTTGGATACCCTGTGGGGCAGTTCTGCTGTGTCCTGCAGGGTCACTATGAATCAGAATTGACTCGATGGCAGCGGCTTTGTTTTGTTTTTTGATTTAATCTCTTGTTAAAGCTGCACCCAGGTGGGATTCAGCCTGTGTCCACCCATGGGACTGGGAAGCACAGTGGTGTGTGACTTCTATTTGGAGCCAGCTGCCTGTTGCTGTAGAAATAGATAGCATTGTAACTGGGAGTAATGTCAATGGTGCTCATGAAAATTTACCGTTGCTTTAGCCTGGATTTCCTAGACTGAACCGCTTCCACGGCTGAAGGCTTTTTTGCAAATGTATTATTGTTTCATCTTTTCCCCTCCTACGCCTAATTCTGTCTCTGTCAGTATCTAGATACCATCTTGTTTACGCACCCTCCTCCACATCCCCTCGGTACCCTTTTTCTTAGGGAAAGGCTTCTGTGTAGCTTCGTGGTAAATGAATTGTCTAAATCATTTAGCATAACAAAAAATAAGGCGACTCCCGGTAGTATATTCTTTTATACAACCCAGTTACAGTATTTAAATTTATTCAGAGTATCTCCTTTCCAATTACGAAGTGATACTGTTAAAGGGAAGAAAAAAGTAAGACTTAGGCTTTCTTGTGTCCCTTGTGTTTCTAAAAGAGCTATATCCTTATTTCTTTGCCTTTATTTCATCATCGAACATTTCTAACATTCCTTGTAAAGGTGTGTATTTTGGAACAAACCACAAACTAAATAAGAATATATAGATATGTAGGTAGAAATGCTTAAAAACACTGTAGACGCTGTATCTTTTCAAGTGGGTCATGAGTAATTGTTAGCTAGGGTGCCCCACAATGAGATAGTAGGGACTGACATTGTGAAAATATTGGCAATGTTTGTTGACAGTGCATCCTGAAGTCTTAACATCACAGCTGGAAGAGGAGAGCTTGCAAATAGCTTAAGGTGGCTCATAGGTGAGTAACAGGCTGTGGGTACAGACAGCTTGTGTTCATCACATTCAGATTCTGGCTGTGATTTTTATTTTGCCTTTTTTTTATATTGTGATAAAATATACACAACATAAAATGTGCCATTTTAACTGTTTTAAGTGTACAATCCAGTGGCATTAATCACGCTCAAAATATTGTAACCATTGCCACTATTTGTTTCCAAAACTTTTTCATTATGCAACAGAAACTATACTCATTAAACGGTAACTTCCCATACCTCTTCCTGCCAGCCCCTGGTAACCACTAATCTTAC